ATGCACACCAACATATCAGACTTTAAGAAGTAAACTTTTCATTCTCATTAAACATGTCCATGCCAAATTGCCAAGCAACTGCAACAATTGTGCCTTAAAGAAACATATGGAAAGTGGAAGCAACTATGCCTTAAATAAAATTCAAAGCAACTAATCAAATATCTGTTAAGCACTAACCTGTCACTGCTAAAACAATTCCACCCTGCAGAAAAATGTATTATTAGCCCCACAACTTTTGCATCCGCATTATATCCCGTTATGCAAACAGGGATCCTCCCAGGAACAACAATCCCTTAACCAATCAACCCTATCTCAGGCTAATGCAGCCAAACAGCCAAGCAAAATAAATCAGCCAACATCTGAGCTCAGAAAATTATTTATATGAATCATAAACACCCAAAAAAATTATTTATATGAATCACATCTGAGCTCAGAAAATTTCCAGGCTAATGTGGCCAACTCCGTCCAAAGTTATCCGGCAAGTTGCTCTTAATGATCGATTGACATCACAACCAAATAATTGAAAAATATAAAATAGATTCCAGCTAACTGGTTGAGTGTATGCGGCAGGGCTTACATCATTGCTCCACCAAGAAAATACAACTGTATAAACAAAACATCCATCCATATCACCAATTAAGAATTAAGTGTAGCCACCCATTCATTATCAACAATAAAAAATATGTAGGAGAGCAAAACAAAATCGTAAAATCTAGTCCTAAATAACACTGAAAAACATGTACTGCAATAAAGGTCCTAAATAGCCATCATCGCCAAGAAAGAGTCTCAAAGCAATCTGAAGGTCCAATTATTTATGAAGAAGCCAAAGATCCTCAGATATTCGAAGAAGCAAAATTCATTAACTTCAACAATTAAAGAATCAAATTATCTAACAACAACTGAAGCTTCAATAATCTTTGTAGAAGCCAAACATCCCCAAGTAAGCTAAATAGAAGCCGGAGAAGCTGTGTCCATTCATTTCAACAATTCATGAATTGGATTAACCATCATAAGCCAACCAATGATTGAAAACCAGCATTACAACAAACATTCGGAAATTGCTTTTGATATCATAGCCTCGCTATGTGGTGGATCTAAATTATTGAAACTAATTATCCTAGAATGCAGTTTTCAATCAGAACTATTATAGTGTTTTAAGACAGATATACTCAACTCTTTGGCTTGACAATCACTAGTGAGGTGAAACTCTCTCAACTAATTTCAAATGTTTTTTCAGTCACCTTCATGCACTCCTCTTTGATAGCAAACCTTGAAATTGTACGATAGATTGGATTCATTGATTTCATCAGAATGTTGAACCTTTAATGCTCGACTTTCAGAAAGGGATACTCATTCACTATGATCATCTTAGCTACAATGTTCTTTATTCTACTATGGTCATATGCAGTTGAAACACATAAAGTAGAAATAGAGTTCTTCAATATCTTTGGCTATTGGGTCAAAGAGTTTTTGTTTTTTATCCCTGCCTTCAACTTTACTGTCTGAAAATGTCTGCTCATTTGAGATGTGGTGTCAGTCTTTTGTTTCACATAAGACTTCGTACAATATTTACATTTCCACTTTTGTATGTTCTTCCCCTTTTCGGTCACTGATATTTCAGTGAATTAATTCCATACCTCTGATCTTTGTCTTTTACATTTTTTATCCTCATTTGTAGCAATTTCACCCACACTCTCAGTGGAAGTTGGGGCTACATCAATATGAAGCTCACTTGTAGAATTATCGGATTTGCTTTGACTATACAAAAAAAAGAAGAACAAACGAAGGGAGCTTAATGCAGAGATTCATTAGATAAAAAGCTCTGCAAATAGTCCCACATGACATAATTCATATGTGTTTATTTTCACCAATTAAAATAAAAAAAAAGAACTGAAATTCACATGGCTCCAATTTTTTCAGAACCTACCAAAGAAATAATGCATTTGAAGCACAGATGTTTAATGTTTCATCAATATTCAATATCACCTAAAAAGATTTAGCAAACTGTTATTACTCTACTGTACACCTTAAGGAGAAATAAGTTCAGAACAACCAATACTTGTATAGCTCAATGCAGAGAGAAGGAGAGATGATTCAACCATTTTAAAAAATTACCAAACTCTCACCTTTTGATCCAAGAACAAAAGAAAACATCATCAAAGATGCATTTTTTATCAACTCAAAACTCTGTTGATGTTAGCTAACTATTGACTTAAAATCAATAATGAATAGACAACAATAGATTTAAATAACCATTGACTTAAAACCATCGCTTATTAACAGTAACTCAATTGTAAAAATATCTCACTTTCACACTTACAGCAGATGGATGTGAATTGCGGTATGAAAACTAAGTAAAATCAGTATAAAAACATTGCACGGCACCCTCAACTCAACGCTTGAAAGACAGAATGCTTATAGCCTACTGGAACGTTAGAGTGGTGACCAAAATGAAAGTGAGAACGTAGAGATAGAGTCAGGTAATGAACAACCAGAAAAGAAACCACACCACTAAACGCTTCTAGCCGGTGGGAACGCCAGAGTGGCGGTTTCATAAATGTTGATGGGAGACCGCAGAGGAGCGCAGAGACGACGAAACAACCAAAGAGGAAGGAGACTGCAGAATCAGGAGTGAAGCTCGGAAGTCTTAACTACTGGAGCGACTGTGGTGTGGGAGAAGAATAGTTAGAAACTTAGGGTTTAGCATATAAAATTTGAATGTTTCAACTTTTAAGTCGCGTGTGAGCGGAATCAGCGAATGGTCGAAATTAATATCGATCTGATTGAAATTAATATGGATCTGATCGAAATTAATATCGATCTGATCCTAATGAAGATTGATATCAGATCCAAAAAATATCGATCCAAAATGTTGGCTGATAGTCCGGCTCGTTTATTTTGATCCGATCTCGATCCGAACCAAAATTCGAATCAATTTTAAAGCGATTAAAGATCTTCGAGCTAAATTCACAGCCCTACCTATCACTAATGTTTACCCGAGAAGAACTCGTTGTCCTGATCCGAGTCCAACATCGGTATCATCTTTCTTAGTGGATCCTTTTCCCGTTGATATTGATTTGTCTACTTCTTTTCCAAGAGGTAAACGTCAATGCACCTATCTCATTTCCTCTTGTGTTAACTATAATCAGTTATCTTACACTTCGTTTTCGTTTGTTGTTTTCTTGACTCAGTTGAGGTTTCAAGATTTGTTTAGCAAGTTTTATCCCATTTTGGGTGGAGGGCAATGATGTTTAGTGAGATGAATGTCTTAACTGAAAATGGAATGTGGAAACTAATTGAATTACCTTTTGGAAAGAAGGTTGTTGGCTGTGAGTGAATCTTTGTTGTTAAATTTCATTCTGATGGATATGTAGCTCTTCTCAAAGCTCAATTGGCGACTAAGGGCTGTGCTCAAATTTAAAGGATTGACTTGGACACGTTTATTCTAGTAGCCAAGTTAACTTCAATTCGCCCACTTCTATCTTTGATTGCAATGAATAGTTGGCCCCTGCACCAAATGTGAATAATATTTTTTTGCTTGGCGATCTATTTTATGTGTGGTGATTTGTTTGAATAGGTATACATGAAGCAACCTTCTAGATTTGTTGCTCAGTGGGAGTCTAAGAAAGTATGTCGTCTTCGGAAGTCCTTATATGGATTGAACCAAAATCTTCAAACATGATTTAGAAAACTTAACCAAACAGTAGAAGAGTTTGGAAGACAGAAAAGTAGAAGTGATTACACTGTATTCTATAAGCAACTGTTTCAAGAATTATTCTATCGGTGGTTTATGTTGATGACTTTATTTTTACTGAAAGTGACGCAGAGATAATATTATTATTAAAATAATTTCTTCAAAATCAATTCAGTACTAAAGATTTAGGTTCCTTGAAGTACTTCTTGGGGATTAAGGTATCGAGGAGCAAGAAAAGTTATTTCTTTTTATCTCAATGAAAGTATGTGTTGGATTTGTTAGCAGAAACTGAAGTCAAACCATGCAGTAATTTGTTGCTTCATAATCAATGGCTTACTAAGGACGGAGGGCTTTTTAATGATTCTGAAGGGCATAGGAGTTTATGGAAAACTTAAACTCTCATAGTAACTAGTTATGATATTATGTATTTAATTAGTATTATAAATCAGTTTATGCATTCTCCCACAACCCATGATTGGTCAAATTTGGAACAAATACTATGTTACCTTAAGGGATCTCCTAGACAAGGTATTTTATATCAGGATCATGGGCAAAGAAATTTTGAATATTTCTCTAATGCAGGTTGGGCAAGTTTCAAAATTGATTGAAGATCCATTACTGGATATTGCGTCTTTGTTGTTGGTAATTTAGTCTCATGGAACAATAAAAATCGGAAAGTAGGATCACGGTCCTATGTTGAATCTGAGTATCAAGCGATGGTACAAGCTTTGAGTGAATTGATGTGTGTCTTCCAATTCCTTACTGCAATGGGTTTTGTGTAGACTAATCCAACAAAGTTGTGTAATAACTAAGTTGTAATTCATATTGCGTCTAACCTCGTCTTCCATGAAAGAACAAAACACATTGAAATAGATTGTCATTTTGTTCGTGAAATTGTTTAACAAAATTTAATTTCTACAGCTCATGTAAAGACTCGGGAACAACTAGGAGACATCATTACAAAGGTCCTTTATAGAGCAAGAGTTATTTATATTTGTAACAAGCTAGGCATGATTAATATCTATGGTCTAGCTTGAGGGAGGAGTGTTATGAAAAATGATAAGTATAAAGCTTGTAGATTATGTGATTTAATTACAGGCGATTTAATTTCAGATCTTTTCTATATTAAGTATATTCCTAATTTGGAGAGAGAGGAGTGTCTATAAAGTTGTAACATATGATTTCAATGTGAAATAAGATGGGATTCCCTTTTCATTAAAATTGTTTATTGTTTTTTTTATAACGTTTTTTTTTATACATTTAACTTTGTATTTGCTTTCTAAAGCATCTTTTGCCATTTGCGCAGGTTGGTGCAATTATTGTTTATACTTATGTATTTCAGATGCTTGCTCCACCAAATGGAGAAACCTTTGATAGTGCTGAAGAGAAAGAACCTCCAAACAAGGATCCTGCTGCCTATGGGAAGCTTCCATCTAATGCTTTTCTTCCTAATGTTGAGAAAAGATCAATCAAGGTTTCTTTTAAAGACGACAAACCTGTACGAGTTCCCTTGTCACCCTCAGTGGAGTGTGAAATAGTTTCTTCAACTAGTAGCAAGGTAACAAATGGCATTATAGAAACTTCAACTTTCTATAAATTTCATTTTATGGAAAAACTGGGGGAATCTCTGTTTTCTTTTTTAGGTAGGCATGGCTATCTTTTTCCCCCATTGAACTTTTATATAGATATTTGCTAGTTTATTTTGATTGATTTTGGAAAGGGAAATGTTCAAGAAAATTAAATGACCGGCAAACTCATCTTTATGCAGAATTGCTGCTGTCATTGTTCTTTAAATGTTTGCCTTGTTTTGGATAACATGATATTTGCAAATGTGTTATAGAATCAATGCAACAAACAATGAACTAAGCAAAAGAAAGAAATATAGATTTTACAGGGAAAACCCAAAATGGAAAAAATCACAGGTAGATGAGTGAAAATCCATTTTGTCAAATAAGAAGTTATAAGTGGAGAGTATTGACTAACATAAAACTAGACATAAAGTGAGTTGTATGTTTTATAAACAAAAAAAAGGGAGGTATTTATAGACTTATGCAGGACCCATTAAGAAAAATACTTTAGAGGGGGCCAATAAAGTATGAACACGCGGATTACAGTCTAGAAGCTATTACAAGATTAATTAAATGGTAGAGGCCTTGAATTGTGCTCAGAGTTTTCTTCTTAGGCTACCTTAATCCGTGTGCTCACAGTTTTGTTGGGAGGTGAGCGGAGCCAACAGAATTCAGGTCACAAATTTAGAAAATTGTATGCCCCAATTTGCATATTTCATAAATAAACAGGTTGTATAGTGAATTTATGATGCTTGGGAATCGTTTAGATTCTGTATACTCAACACCTTGTTTAAGACCTCCACGCTTGTTTATGGCGCATGATTATCTAATGGAACTTGCCAAGTCTTTAACGAATTCTGAATCAAATATGCATTTTTTCGAACAACGATGACTATGAATTCTGAATTGCCTGCATCTATTGTGCAGGTGTTTGCCAAAATACTCATCATTTTGAATGAGTTAAAACAGCCTCCCATAATAGCCTCTGTAAGTACGCCCTTCCTGAATAGCAATTCATTTGGAAGTTCTCTGCTTGTTTCCTTATATAAATTTGTGATATCAAAGTAAAGTTCTATTTCACTTGTGTCTGTTTTAGAAAGTTTGGCTTACTCTTTTAAAAGATTGTTTATTTATCCTTAAGCTCTCCTATGCATATCTTTTAGGATCACTATTTGATTAATGGCTGCACATGTCAAATACTCACATAAATTTAACAAAAATCTCTTTTCTTCAAGCAAACGAACAAATAAAATTCATGCAAATTTTAAAAGAGAAAAATGCCGTCTGGTTTTGACTTATTATTGATTACTGAACTTGGTATTACTCTAAACATTATTGGTTTCTTTATATAGATCTTCTTTCTCACTCAATTTTTTTACTAATGGATAGTTTTGTTACTTTTTTTATTGGGAAACCTAGACTAATAAAACAACACTTGGTCTCTAATGCCAAGCTCTGGGAGCTTATTTCAAGCCACCTCTGGGAGCTTATTTCAAGCCACGCAGTGAATTCCTTATTTTAAATACATGATCTAGATAAGAATGATTTATAAACACAAGTGGCAAATTTATGTTTACATCCTCCGCTATGACACCAATTTAAAAGTTCACTATGTAATAATTTCCTAGAAAGTGAAACCTTTAAAATAAGCTAATGTTAGCAGTCGTTAATGGCTTCTAGTCTAGCTGTGTGCGTAAAAGATTTCTCAGAATATATCCCATCAATATGGCTTTAATCCTGCTCTACTAACCTAATATTATTTTTCTTATTATGATTTGAATTCTTTCACTAAGATTACTTGTTTTATCTTTTGAGCATTGGTTTCATGAGGTTAGCAGCAATACCCAATGAAATAATAACTTTTGCAATTCAGTTTTTTAACATTTAAACTTGTCCTTATACTTATCTCAGCCAACGTTCTCTATATTGGTGAATAGCCTATCATCATTAGTAACTTTTAAAGGTCTCTTTTAAAATAATTTTAAGGATATTTACAATTGCATGCAAAGGTGCGCTTAAGTTATTCTGTAACTCTATGCTTCTTCAATTCAGGGTTTTTATAGGCTTTCGGATTTGCATCTTTCATGTATTTCCTTTTTGAAAATTTGTTTGCATGTTCTTGCCACAGGCATTAGCAATCTTTTGTGGTACCATACCATTTTTAAAGCGCCTAATCCTTAAAGATGATGCGCCCTTCTTTTTTCTCACGGACAGCTGCCTCATCCTTGGGTACAGACTGCAACTGTTACATCTCTTTTGATTATTTTTTCATTTATTATTTTTACTTAGATGCTCTTGTTGTATGAATCACTATAATACCGGAGTCAACCCAAATCAGAACGGTACAAAATTATTATTGCTGAAATTCAAAAGGTGTTACAAAAAAAAGTCTTAACAATAGGAAAAATAACAACACAAACACCAAAGATTCCTTAGGGTAGGACGAAAATAGTGGTCTATTGTTGATTAGTGGAAACAGGGAATTGGAGGTGGTAGGGAAGGTTGACGGCAACAAGGAGGAGGTTGGGGTGCAGCTAGACAGCAATTAACAAGTGGATGGAGGCAATTACAACAACAACCAATAGTAGATAGTCAGAGCAAAGTGTGGTGCAGGAAGGGGCGACAACAACGGGGGAGGGGCGGGAGTTGTAGTAATAGTAGTGGGCAGGGAGGGCGGCAGCGAGCAGGGAAGGGGACAGAAAATGGAGATGAGTGAAGTTAATCACTACAAAGAGTAGGATACAGTCAAAGCACCACCTGTCTTTGGATATAGACCTAGTAATGGAAACGATACCAATGGCAGAAAAGTATGAAGCAAAAACTGAACCTTAAAGAAAATAACACATATATAGTAGTAGATAACTAGGAGGGGGAGATCCCTCCCCTTCGGTGGCAACCCTAACCCAGTCTAAGGGTCGGTCGGCCACTTCAGCTTCTTGGGTGAACTGGTTCAACTTCAGCACCCTCTCCCCCAGGTGAGCCCCACGTCAGTCTCTTGGGGTTTGAGAGCTTCACCTCATTCGTCGAAACTTTTGGTTCATGTTTTACTAAGTCAAATACGCTATATTGAAAGTAGCAGAGATATTTTAGTCTCACGGTAAGTTGATCTTATAATTGTTGTCGTTAGCTTCTTAAGGATCCTAAAAGGGTCATTTTTTTTGGGCTCTAGCTTCCCGAACGCTTGCACTGAAAACCTCTTTTATTTTCATGGAAACCATTCTTTCTTTAGCTGGATCTACACTAGGTACCCTTCTTGAACAGTCATAGTTTTCCTAGTCTTTTTTTCATGTGCTTGGTAATTGTGGTTCTGCTTGGTGGCCTTTTCCACCTTCTTATATAACTTCAGAATCTGTTGCACTCTCTCCTCTGCATCTTTATTAATCTCTTATGTTGGAAGGAGTAGTACCAAGTCAAGTGGAGTGAGAGGGTTGCGCCCGTACACAATCTCAAATGGGGTGTATCTCGTGGTTTGACTCACAAATCTTTTGTAAGAAAACTCAGCTTGGGCTAGAATCAAATCCACCACTAAATTTTTTTTTTTCCATAAAGTACCTTAGAAAATTCTCCAGACTCATGTTCACCACCTCCACCTGACCATTCGTCTGCGAGTGAACTGCTAAACTGAGTTGAAGCTTAGTGTCAAATTTTCACCATAGGATCCTCCAGAAATACTGGTTGAGACCCTTGACAGTAGGAAAAATAACAATACACACACCAGAGACAATTTTTGGGCGAGGGTGAAAATAATGGGTTACCACTGAATTAGTGAAAATAGAGAATTGGAGGTGGTAAGGAAGATTGACTACAACAAGGAGATAGGGGTGCAGTTGGACAGCAAGTAACAGGAGGCTGGAGCAATGTGCAGTGTAGGGAGGGGTGGCAGCAGTAGCGAGGGTGTGCTGGGAGGGAGGCAATGAGTGGGCAAGGGGAAAGGGTAGAGGAAGACAAGCGAAGGTAATCACCAACTCGAAGCAGGATACAAGCCGGAGCAGTACTTGTCGAATACAGCCCTGGTAAGGGAAAAGACAAGGATGGAAGAAAAGTCTGAAACAAAAATTGAATCCTAAACAAAAAAAATAATATATATATAT